GCGACACCACACCACGGCCTCATCATCGCGGCTCCCTGCTCCATCCCGCCAGCAACAAACATACCAGTCGCCTGCAGCCCTTATAGGTGCAGGCGCCGCACGGCCTTGGTAAGCAACCACGATTCCACCCTCGGCGGTGCCTAGACACCCTGCCACCAGGCCCGCACACCAAGCACCACCAGCAGCGCCGCCACGCGGTTCCGTGCGCGGCTGCAGCTACCGCCCCGCCGCCACAGCCTAGTCGTACAGCCCTGTGCGCAGCAGTCGCTGCTGGCGGCTGCACGTTGCCGCTGCCAGCCAGCCTCCTGCCACGTCCTGCATGGCGGCCAGCAAGCACCGCGCCATGAGGCTGTGCTGCACGAGAGTTTGCCACCCAGCTCGGCTGCGACTGCGGCAAGAGAATGGCAAGCCCCTACGACAATGCCTACAGTGCAGCGGGAGCACTGCTCATGCTCATGACCTCCGCCAACTCCGACACGCTGCCTGCTATGGGCGGCTCCTGCAGCTCTGCAGTTCGAAGCCAGGTGAGGACGTTTTCTATGGAGCGATAGTCCTGGAAGGTCCAGCTCCCAGCCATCTTGCCATCCCGCTGTGCCAGGTTGAGGCTCAGCTGCGCATGGGCGCTGAGCACGCGGCGAAAGGGGACCACCGTGCTGCTGTAGTATTGTAGGGGCCGCGCCTCCAGGTCGCCGTATGTTGTGTCGCCGAACGCATTGGTCAACTCAGCATAGCCCTTGCCCTTGGGCCCTCCCAGCCACTGGCAGTCAGCGAGCTTCTGCGACTTGAGCTCGTCCCACAGGATGTGTAGCTTGAGCTTCTTGTCCGCTGGGTCCTCGTAGAAGCAAACAGCCGAGTTGTCGTAGGCGCGCTCGATGGGCTGCAGGGAAACACGTGATGTGGCGGGTCACACTGCTGCAAGAACACAGGCAGCGTCAGCCGCCACAGGCTAGATGGCATACTGCATCAAGGCCAAGAGAACCGCCTCTGCATGCCATAGCAGGTGCCCATGCCCGAGCTACAGCGCTTGCATTCATGTAGGATGAGGACGATGCAAGCGTGAGTGTCTGTACCTTGGACAGCAGCAACGCGTTGCGCGGTGATGAGACGTCCTCCTTGGACAAGCCCAGCAGGTGGCACGTGCCATCCGCCCAAGATAGCTTGCACAGGTGCGCAAGGCTGACGCAGTTGGGGGGGATGCCTTCCCCCAGGAGCTGGCAGCCCTTCACCCCCGCACACTGCAGCTGCGACTTCAGTTCAGATGTCTTGCGGTCTTTCGCCGACTTGCTGTGCGTTGCAGTGGAACCGTCACGCCACATGAGCACCTTTGAAACTAGGAACGGCAGAACTGACTCCATCTTGCTGACCTTCCTGTGAAGCTCCGCCACTGTGTGTGGGGGGGAGGGGTCACGGCAAGGGTAAGCCGTGCACTCACTCTCTCTTCGGCAAGGGTAAGCCGTGCACTCACTCTCTCTTCGACTCTCGCCAAGCCCTTTGCCCCCCGTCACTAGCACCCCGTGATCCAGCCAACTTGGCAGCTGGACTTGTCAGTAAGTTCGGCCGGTCGCCCAGTTGAAATGCATGCAGGATCTTATTAACGCAACCAACGCGGGAACGAACGGGTACAGAGCAGCAGCAGAAAGGGACGGACGGAACAACTTCCAGCTGACTTGCAGTACAGCATAGGCGCCGGGGCCCAGGCCTGCACCGCAGCCCATGCACCCACCGTGCCATGCCCGAGCGAGCGCCCCGCCCACCCACCCCAACCTGCCTACAGCTGGCGCGCTCTATGCGAGCTCCCCTGGGGCGGGTGTTGGGCGGGTGCTGGGGCCAGGCCCGCCACCCGCCAGCTGCCCCTTGCCGCCTCTTACAGCTCCCAGCACGCACCCAACACGAGTGGGCGCAACCAGCTCACCCCGCAGCCCCCAGCAACGACCCACCTGCCCCACCACGCGATGGCCTCGCTGCTGCCCTTCCGATATAGGCCAGCACCCCCGGCAACGGCCTCCGCACCCCCAACAAAGGCCCGCTTCTTTTCTTGCTTCCGTAGCACGGGGCAGACGAGCCTCAAATTGGCCTCACCCGTCTTAATGCCATAAGCGTTCAGCCAAACCCCAATCGTTCCCCCTGAGGATCGGTTCCCTTCCCACGAGCGCCAGGCCTAGAGGCCCTGCAATGCAGATGGGGTCTCACCTTCAGCTGCCGTGCTTCCGGGGCCCGGTCCTGCCGCCGCGCCTGCATGACAAGAATGTCACATGTATGCAGATCAGGATTATTGCACATCAAGCTGTATCCTGAAGAGACAGAGGCGGTGGTTGCACAATCGGGGATCAA